AGAAGCAATAGTTCAATGCTTCCAAAAATTATATGCATGTACATCAAGTTTCTAATAAATTTCACCGAATAATGCCTCTCATAAGGCTTTTTCATACTAGTATTAATTAGTGTTTGTTTAATCGCATAGGCTAGAACGCAATCATATTCCGATCGAATTGGTTTCGAGACTATTTTATACATCTTGAATGAGATACAAGAGTTGTAATCACCCTATTTGGCTTAGAGTGATGAAAGACTGATGATTGAGTTTTCGCGTAATAATATAAGTAGGCCTTATACTCCAACGAATCTCACATATAGATACAAATAAAAACTGGGTTTCGATGATTCTCCTGAGATACCAATGCTGGGAGGACTTTCATTTCGTATGAAAGTGCATGAAAGTAGGTCGAAATTACCAAAAGAGGACGGATGAATCGCGTTGTATTGCAGCCGTTTGGCTTTTATACGACGTTCTGGTTGACGCAGTCCACGAGACCGTTTTCATCCAAAACGAGGCAGGAGGTGAGATCGACCCACGAGACTCTTCTTCATGCACTTTCATACGAAATGAAAGTTACCCCAAACATGGAATATCACATTGCCTTGACTCTCAAAAGGTATTCTGATCTAGAATGGACTGCAGATCCGACCTCACCCAGTTCCCATTGGCAACTGCCAGCAGGATTCGAACCCTGGTAATGCAATTTATGACCTAAACCCGTTAAACGCCACGATTGCAACTGGCTCATAGGGCCAAAGTGAATTTCCAAGGAAGCTGAGGCTTTTCTTACGTCAACGTTCTGTCTTAGCATGCCGACGAAGCAAGGATGCATTTGTCATAGAAATGGTCTAACTTCGTTTATAGAAGTGGGTTGACCTCGTTGTCGCAACTTGGTCTTGTGGTCAAGGAGACTATGTAGAACTCACCTAGTCCGAAGTCGTCTGCCATAGTAGTTGCCATGATTCCCAGCATCTGACAGTGGACTTGATACATTCTCAAACGCTTCGCTGGCATCGTAGTCGGCATCATCAGTGAGACTTGCCATTCTCCGCACCAAGATACGAACTCGTCAAAGATACAAGTGAAGTCAATCCCTCGACAAACGTTTTGCTGAAGACGGTACCAAGTCGACTGTCTGATGCTGGGAATCATGACATTACTATGGCAGTCGACTTCGGACTGGGTGCGTTCTACTAAGTCTCCCTGACAACAAGACCAAATTGTGACAACGAGGTCAGCACACTTCTATAAATCGAAAGGAGACTGCGACCATAACAGAGGCCACAACATCTTGGTCTTCATATATTCAACTAACTTCGCTTACCCAACTTGGTCGTATTGTCAGGGCGACTTAGTTCGACGCACCCTGTCCAAAGTCCTCGGTTAAAGTCGCATCATGAACTTGGTAAATTCCCAGACCTATCGTAGTTGGTATCGTCAATGTTCGGCAGAAAGTTGGTCAAGGGATTCGCTTCATTTGCTTCTTTAACGAGTTGTAACTTGGTGCCGAGACTAGCCAGGCTACCTGACAACACCGACTACGATGCCGGTGTAACGTTTGGAAATGTACCAAGCCCACGTTCTGATTCTGGGAATAATGACAATTTGTCCGGCTGAGGACTTCGGACAAGGTGCGCCCAACTAAATCGCCCTGACAACAAGACAAAGTTGCGAAAACTAGTTCTGACCACTTCTATAAATCGAGCAAAATAAAGCCAACAATATCTCGGTCTTCAAATCCATATTTGCTCTAGCCTATTCATAGCATTGTGGGAAAATGTATCTACCAGTACTTCCCTACCTTAAATGAAATAGGTGAATACGGCTCTTATCTCAGATTGGTAGGGAAATCTCAAAAAGCCCACATATGAAACAAGAAATCAAAAATAAGAACTGTATTCGTTCTATATCGCAAAAGGTGATTAAGAATAGCTAGTCTTATTTTTCCAAAATTCATTAACTACACCTCCCGTTGGGTTTACTGATGAGACTGGTTCAGACGAGGCCGAAAGTGCAATACAAGCCTCTCGATTCCAGCGAAATGAACTAAAATGGTATTTTCAGGGCCATTCATAGCAGTGTGGAAAAATGCACTATCCGTCCTTATTATTACGCTATTCAGGGTAAATACCGCTCCTATTTAAAAGGGAAATTAATCTTTCTATAGGCTTCTGGATGAGATTACATTTCTGCAAGCAGGACTGAGCAAAAATCAACGAAAACGTATGCCCACTTCTATCCTTATAGACTAATTCATTTATCAATCTTGCATCATCTTATGCTACTTAGGGGTAACTAGGTCTCATTTGCAATGTTAGAGGTGATCGGAACTCTTTTTCGAGAATGAGTGATATTTTTAAAACAAACTTCCTATTTCCATCATAGGCTGGTTCACGCTCTTGCTTCAGCATTAAAGACAGTTTCGCAGCCTGTCTGAGGAACTACCACAACAAACACTACTACTACTGCTACTACTACTACTACTA